TGCAGCAGCAGCGCGTCGATGTCTCTTTCTTCTGCCAGCCGGCAGATGAGTTTAATGTCTCCTCTGTGGCTGCATGCGGACTGCTGCTGCAGCACTCTGCTGCTGCTGCTGCTGCTGCTGCTTCTGCTGCTGCTGCTGCTGCTGCTGGTGGAGGCAGAGAAGCACCGCTGCTGCACATACACCCCAGCTGCCGCACAACGCAGGCCTGCTGCTCTCCTTGCTGCAGCAGCTCGCCTCTGTAGCAAACGCGGGAGGACCCTCAGACTCATCGCAGCAGCTACAGCTGCTGCTGCTGCTGCTGCTCCAGTTGCTGCTGCAGCAGCTGCTGCAGCTTTTGCTCTTGCTGCAGCAACGAGGCTTGCTGCTGCTGTTGATGATGCCTATTTCTCACTGGTGGACGGAGCTGCTGCTGCAGCTTCTTCTGCTGCTGCTGCTGCTGCTTCCGGCTCTATTGCTGCTAGCGACTCTGCTGTAGTTGCTGCTGCTGCAGTTGCTGCTGCAGTTGCATTTGCTGCTGCAGTAGATCCTTCTGCTGCACGTGCTGCCGCCCCCAGCTTTGCTGCTGCAGTCGACTCTGCTGCTGCTGCTGCTGTTTCTGCTGCTGCTGTTGCTGCTGCTGCGGGTGCTGCTCCACGGAGCCCTCCTCTGCTCTGCTAGGCCTGGGCGCGTGAGGGGCCCCTGCGGCAGCAGCAGCAGCAGCATTTGGGTTGCAGCAGCAGTTGTTGCTGCTTCTGCTGCAGGCTACTGGCCTCACTAGCAGCAGCAGAAGGACAGAGGAAGAAGGAAGATCAACTGAAACGCAGCAGATGAACTGCTGCTGCCCCCTGCTGCTGCTGAGAGAGCAGCAGCAGCAAGAGCAGCAGCAGCAGCAGCAGCAGCAGCAGCAAGCAGCAGACGCGGTGTTATTTAATGGACTAAAGAGAAAGAGTACTATGAAAAAAATATAAAATATTTAATTATAAATAAAGAAGAAGATATTTCATTTATTATTAAACCCAAAAAACCACAGCAGCCGCTGCTGCTGCGCCGAAGACACCGCCGCAGCCGCAGCAGCTGCCGCAGCAGCAGCAGCAGCAGCAGCAGCAGCAGCAGAACTAGCATCAGCAGTGGCTGCATTAATATAACCTGTTTCTCTATTCTCAGTTAGTTTATATTCTCTTTCTCTGTCTCCCCCTCTTTGCCTCTGTCTCCTCAGCAGCAGCAGCAGCAGCAGCAGCAGCAGCAGCAGCAGCGATAAGATGACGTCAACCCGAAGCATCCCGCCAGCAGCAACCCCAGCAGCAACCCCAGCAGCAGCAGCAGCAGCAGCAGCAGCAGCAGCAGCAGCAGAGGGGCGTGTGCTTGCGGTGCAGTCGCACGTAGTACGAGGGCATGTGGGTGCTGATGCCTTCGTCTTCCCGCTGCAGCGGCTGGGGCTTGACGTGGGGTGTATATACACCTGCCAGTTTGTAGATTTGTTTGTGCATGAGGGCCCCCCGCTGCAGCTGCAGCATTTGCAGCAGTTGCTGCAGCACCTGAAACCCGACAGTTTCCTCCCTCGTCCTCTTCCTTCTGCTGCTGCTCCTGCAGCAGCAGCAGCAACAGCAGCAGCAGCAGCAGTGGAGCCACCGTTTCGGTACATTGCTTCTGGCTTCGTAGGAAACGGAGAGCTGCTGCATGCGCTAGCTGACTGGCTGGGGCCCCTCAGGGGGGCCCTGGGGGCCCCCGCTGCTCCTCTGTACCTATGCGACCCCGTGATGGGGGACTGCGGCCAGCTGTACGTACACCCCAGCTGTGTGCAGGTGTACAGCAGCAAGCTGCTGCCGCTAGCAGACATCATCACCCCCAACCAGTACGAAGCGGGCTGGATACTGGGGCACCTGCAGCAGCAGCAGCAGCAGCAGCAACAGCAGCAGCAGCAGCAGAAGGAGAAGGAGCAGCAGCAGGAAGAGAAACTAGGGTGGAGAGAGAGCTGCTGCCCCTGTGTAGAGATGAAGACTTGGGGGGATGTTCTTGCTGCTGTTGCTGCGCTGCATGATGCGGGGCCAGAGGTTGTGCTGCTGACGTCCGTGCAGTTTGCTGCTGCTGCTGCAGCAGAAGAAGCTCACAACGTCCTTGCTGCAGCAGACCCCACATATCACCAGCAGCAGCAGCAGCAGCAGCAGCAGNCAGCAGCAGCAGCAGCAGCAGCAGCAGGTTAAACCAGAGGAGCATCTGTTCATCGTTGCCTCACGCCGAGGGCGTCCGCAGCAGCGTTGCGCTCCCCCCCAGCAGCAAAACCACCACCACCAGCAGCAGCAGCAGCAGGAGCAGCAGCAGCAGCAGCAGCAGCAGCAGCAGCAGCAGGAGGCAGCAGACGTATTGTATGCGGTGTCAGTGCCGATGAAGAAAGGGTTTATTGGGGGTGCTGGTGATCTATTTGCTGCTGTCTTTTTGGCTTTCTTTATAAAAGAAAAATTTCATATTGGGAATACTCTCACCAAGACTGTTGCTGCTGCACAGGTCTGCTGCTGCTGCTGCT